GATTCAGCTTGGGATTGATAAAAGGAGTTCCTGTCAACACCCAAATCAACAATGAGGAAAATTTCAGCCAGCCCTTAATTAATAAAAAGGGACAGCATAAAAGTAGGTGGAGTAGCTTTCAACTGATCCTATCTCTTCAAAGGAGAAAGGTGCATCACAGACACACCCCTTGCTTACCATAAACCTCTCCTACTGGGTGGCACAGCAGGAGTCACAGGTGCTGTGACCAAGACCTGCTGTTCAGGTGACACTGCACTTGGGGCATTTACCAGGCAAGTGCCACAGCACACAGCAGGGAGGAATGTGGCACAGATCCTGCCCTCAATGAGGAAGAGCCTCCTCCAGAGAGAGCTCATTCTCTCAAAGACTTACCTTGATGGGAATATATATATTTCTGCTCAATGCACACATCCTCTTACTTAGCCGAGTAAAAGTTTACAATGCTCAGCTTAAGACAAAACAAAAACCAAAACATGTATAAACTTAGTTAATGCTAATGTTTAAAATGTTATTTTAAATATGATTAGTCTCTAGAATAACAAAGTTATAGTGAAGTATGGCTAGCAGCTCTGAACAAAACAATAGAAATTGCTGGCCTAGTAATACAGTAATACAGGAAGCAGTGGAAGTGAACTTGAGTGGGAGGCAGGGGGTGGATGCCAGGGCCTTTGAAGATAGATTCCAAAGTCAAAGTGACCTTTACAAATTGCAGAAGTGATCAGAAAAAGAAAGGAAGGAAGAAAGAAACCACACACACACACACGGAAATGCAAACTGGCAAGTTTAAATACCTGGGGGAAGGAAAAATTTGGGTTTTTTTTCCCCCAAATGTAAGGTAAAGCACTGACTCTTGTAAATACTAAAATGTCCAAAAGGAACAAAGAAGGCCAAAATAAGAAAATGACTAAAAGTGATTGCTCAACTGAGTAAATATTGCTTGAGTACCTATGAGATGCCAAGGCGTCAGTCCAGGCACAGGGGCAGGGGTGTGGGTATCACAATAAACATCATAATGAAGAGACACAACTCTTTTTCTTAAGCAAACATTACCCATAAGCATCTGAGGATGTCTGCAGTGTTGCTGTGTACATAAGCTTCCCCCGTACGCAAGCTGGAAGCAGTGTGGAGAGGGGCCAGGGCACTGGACCGAGGGCCAGAAGAGAAGAATGCTTATCACAACGCTGAACTGGCTCTGCGACCACAGACTGAGGACCAAAACACTCCCCTCCCACAAGGTCACAACCCCAATAACAACACACCTGGAGGAGCAGCCTGGTCTTGGATCTCCTAGCTTAGCCATCTTTCCCAATACCACACACACTGTAGACGGATGAGGAAGAAAAAAACCCAGAGAAAGGGAAGACGACAGGAAAAGGAGAATTAAGAAACAGCAGACCATCAAGTTCAAGTTGAGGTATCCACACAGAGGTATAAAGACAGGAAACTCCTACAAGAACACAATATGATCATAAGGATGCAAAAATTTTTATAGCCTGGTTCAAATCATGCTCCTGCTTACTGTTAAGACAATGTGAATGCATAGAGTCCAAAACAAAAATTCATGCAAATGATACTTGAGACAAAAGAGATGCTGGCAAAGGGGTGGAGGTGCTTTATACCATCATCCAAGTGTATGAAGCTCTTGTAACCACGCAGAGGCCATACACTGGGCTGAGGAACAATAAGTAACATTACAGTCTATAACTTTTATATTGGTGATATAAAAATTCCTGGAGGGTCAGAAGGGCTAAATACTGGAGTGGCTGGCCAGGATTTGGTTTGCTTTGGAAATTATCAAAATTGGGCCCAGCACAATAGCATAGCAGCTAAGGTCCTCACCTTGAATGCTCTGGGATCCCATATGGGTGCCGGTTCTAATCCCGGTGGCCCTGTTTCTCATCCAGCTCCCTGCCTGTGGCCTGGGAAAGCAGTCGAGGACGACCCAAGGCCTTGGGACCCTGCACCCATGTGGGAGACCCGAAAGAAGCTCCTGGCTCCTGGCTTCGGACTGGCTCAGCTTCAGCCACTGCGGCTGCTTGGGGAGTGAACCACTGGAGGGAAGATCTTCCTCTCTGTCTCTTCTCTCTGTAAATCTGACTTTCTAATAGAGATAAATAAATCTTTCTTAAAAAAAGAGAATTAACAATTTTTTTTGATTATCGAAATTTAGAAGGAAAGACCTCATCATGCAGACATCTGAAAGCATAAAAATGGACTAACTCACTGGAGTCCAACCAGATTCCTATGGGAGAACCACCCATAAGCACTGGAAAACTATAGCCCCTCAGGCCCAGTGTAACACAACTACTGGGGACTGAGTCAGAAACAAAGCTGATTCGGGGGCAGCCAAGACCTGCCATGGTGGAGCAGGTGGGGAGGACGGTCACCTGGAATGGCATCAGAGAATGGGAACTAGATCAATGCAAATCTTGTGGGCAAAATAGAATTTCTGTGGGTGTGATATTTTTAAAACTCTATTGTAAGGCTGCTCTGAAGCACCCAAGCATATCCCACTAAATCTAAACATTCTTTAAAGATCCTGAAGTCAGCAGCTGCAACCCATGAACCAGAAGTTGTACTCCACGCTGGTGAGAAGCTTACAGAACAGGCAGCAGAGTGTGAATGGGCCAGAGAGATGCCGAAGAAATAACAATTTTAAAAATCAAAACACAGGGGAAAAGAAGAGAGACCACAAACCATCACTTTGTCTCTACCTCTGCGCCCCAACCCGAAAGGGGAATAATGAGGGATACAGGAAGGAGTGAAAGTAGAAGGGAAAATTGCAAATCCCATCTTCATGTGAAGGGAAAAAACAATGAAGCTGAGACATTATCTAGCAGGCAGCAAAAACCAGGCAGTCACTTCCCATTGCAAAGCAAAGGAAAACAAGGAGCAAGGGTGGTCCTGGATGGCTGTTGAGACAATGAGACAGATAGGCTGACAGCTCCTTGCCCTAGTAACTCAGTGATGTCTAAATTAACATCTGGCCACAAGCCAGACAGAGAAGTGCTCGAAAGTTTGGAAGGGTGTGTTATAATTGGTACCTTGGCAAAACACGACAATAGATTAGCCGGATTCAAAAAGCCTTCGTTGCTAGACTCCTTTGAGCTTGAAGATTTGTACCAAGAAACAGATTTTTTAATCTCCTCTTTTGCAGTGGTTGAGCAACTAAAGGACACCTGTCTAAAAATCAGGATAGCTAAGTCCCATCCTTTGGGCCAACTTGAGGACCACTGAGGCTGAACTCCCTAAGTTAGCTGCCTACAGCGGCACCCCACGGAGCAGCATGAAGGCAGCTCTCTACCCTGAGGCCCTGTGTCCAGCAAGCCTTACTCCGACTCTCTCATTCCTTTGGCTGTACTTTACAGGGAACCACGCTACACACCAGAGGATGAAGGTGGTTGCTGAAACAAGGCAATGACAGACGAAGGACTGTAACCCTGAGACTGCCCCCTCCCCCTGCCAGGGTTACACTGTCTCCATCCTAAACACACTGCTACACTAAAGCTTCCACTCTAAGAAAAAGGGAGGGAAAAAAAAGTCACCATCCGCTTTTCATTCGATGTCTCTGAAACAAGCTTTGCTTCACTGCCACACAGCCTGCTGGGACTCTCGGGGACCTAGCCGTGTATGAAATGTGAACTTTCCAAGAAGTATCCGGTTGGTGCTGAACAGCCCAGTACTGTTTTCTTTCAGGTGATAACCTTGTTCTCTTTTTAAAACAACTGTGATTGGCAAGCCAACTGCCTGTTAACAATGAACAAAGATCATATTTTTCTGCAGTTCATCATCTTCTTAACCCTTTCTTTAAAAAAGGAGAGGCCGTTCATGAACTAATTTTTCCCTCTTCTGGTAAAGGTGAAATCTTGCTTCGGATCAGGCTCAGGAAAAGCAAGGGCCCCTTTTAGTTCAACAGATGTGCATGAGCCACCACCGGGTTCAGAAAGAATCAAACAGCCCCTGGATGGCCTGTGAGGGCCTTCTCCAAGTGCCCTGACCTTAGTATACACCTTCTTTCAACTAATCCTATTAGCTCGGTGATTTCGTTCCCATTTCATTGGTGAAGATACCGAGCATAGGTGGATTCGAATTCCAAAGCACCCTCCCACCCCCATTAGTCTGAAGACACTGGGAGCCTGGAAGCTGTGTGTGGGGGGACATGGTATCAGTCTGTGAAGTCTGTGATTTCCTTTCCTCGCTCCCAACTGAGTTGGGAAAGACTGACGCAAACACACAACCCTAAGGAAGCCAAAAGCTCAGGCATCCAGGTCTCCTCCTGCGCCCCTGCCCCACCCCCAACAGTGCCCAGAGCAGCGTCGCGGCTGCCAGGCTGGAGGAGCTGGCAGCCGTCACGCCACATTCCTGGGTCCGGACACTGAGCGCGGCCGGCAGCACCAGGGCTGCGCGCCTGATCCAGTGCAGCCACGCCGGGGCTCCGAGCCACGGGCCGACACAGACGCGCGCTCAGCACCGGGGAACCGACCCGGTGTCAAAATGCAGGAGCGCGGCCAAGCCCCGTCCCCTACCGGACCGAGCTCCTGGTCGTGCACTGCGCTCCACGCTGCGCAGAGCCCGCACGGCAGTGTAGCCGAAGTCGCGGGGCTCCGAGGCCTGCCCCCCTCCCGTCTGCCCGCCCGCGCCACAGACTGGCATTCCTGCGCTCGGCGCGCCCTCGGCCCCGCGCAGCCCGCCCTCGGCTCTCCCCGCGCCCGGGGGGTGAGGGGAGAGGACGCGGAACCTGGAAGGCGAAACACCGCCCCACGTCCCCAACGCAGGCGCTCCGAGGAGACAGTGGCTGGACCTTAACCGCCCCGGACCCCCTTCCAGCCGAGCGGGCGCGTCGGGGGGCGGCGGCCGCACGGGGGAGGGACCCGGGGCGAGAGTGGCCCCCCGAAGATGCCCAAACCCTCGGCACGGACGCGACCCCGCAAGGCGCCGTCGGCACGGCCGCCCGAGGGGGTGAGGGGAGACCTGCGAGGCTCAGCCCGGTCGGTACTCACCGCGCGCGGGGGCCGCGCGGCACAGCCAGAGCGCCAGGAGCGCCCAGAGCGCGGCGTGGCGCGGGCCGGGCATCTTCTCGCTCGCCGCCTCCTCCGCCGTGGCCGCCGGGGCAGCTCCACATGGAGAGGTGGGGGGGTCCCGGCAGAGGAGCCCCGCTTCCTCCTCTCTCCACCCCCTTCTCCTCTCTGGCGCTCCGCCCCCGCCTCCCCCCACCCCACCGAAGCTCCGGTTCCAACGCCTCGACTCGTGCAGCCCCGGCCGCCGCCCCAGCCGCCCCGGCCGCCGCCCGAAGTTAGGCTGAAACTTTGTGGAGCGTGCGGCGAGGCCGCCTCGTGTGTCCTTCCGCCTGGGCGCGGAGCCCCGCCCCCCTGTCGCCGGCCGCCGCCTCGGGCACACGGGGGGTTCCCGCAGGAAGAAGCGCCGGCTGCGCCCCGCGCGGAGGGATCTTACTACGAGGCGGCGGCACCCCCAGCCCAGCTTCGGCTGCAGCCCCACGCCGCCGCTCCTTGGCCGGGCCGCGCCGGGGTTCCGATGCCTTAACTCCTTCGGCGCTAGGGCGCCTCGTCCTAAGAGGGTGTAGGCGTTAGGGCTGCAAACCTCCCGTCTCCGAGGTCTGCCGGGATCCTGCACTTGGCAGGAAGCGTCAGACTTCACCCAGCCGTCCCGCAGCGCCCACTGCTTCCCCCCCTGCAGCCCCTGGCCGAGGAAGTTGGGAGGGTCCAACCAGGGCTGTCAAAGCAAAAAAACAAAAACAAAACACTGGGGTTGGGGAGCCGTCACTTGTGGGAGTGCCATCCCCGTGCATTCACCCGTTCGTTTAGACGGTATTTCCTGGGTACGCTGCTGTGAGTACAGAGCGTGGATACCCGAGGCACCGGCTACTTTTGACAAGCCGAGACGTGGATGCTTCGAGTTAGGGCAGGGGTGCCAATGGGGTGTTCTTGGATGGAAGGACTGGGAATTCGAACAAGAACTTCAAAAGTAAACTAAGTGTCTGCAAAACCAAAAAAACAAACAAAAAAACCAAAAAAACAAAAAACAAAAACCAACCATCTTAGGATATAGTTACCTGTAGCACTGCAAAAGCCAAAAATTGGAAACTTAAATGCCCACTCATAGAGGAATGGGTGGATGATGTATTTTAATAGAGCGAAATGCGACATGCTAATTGGAAAGACTGTATCCAGTAAAGATAAATCTTTAAAACCCAATGAGAGTGGCAAAAACAGTGCCTGGGCAGCGTTGTGACATGGTGTGTTAAGCCTCATCCAGCAAGAGTGCTGGTTCCAGCTCCCTGCTAATGTACCTGGGAAAAACAACCAAGAATGAACTGAGCAGTTGGGCCCTTGCACTCGCCGGCGAGACTTAGATGGACTTTCAGGCTCTTTTTTTTTTTTTTTTTTTTTTAATTTCTTTTATTTTTATTGGAAAGTCAGATTCACAGACTAAAGGAGAGAAAGAAAGATCTTCCATCATGGGGTCACTCCTCAAACGGCTTACCATGGCTGGAGCCAAGTCAAACTGAAAACAGGAACCAGGAGTCTCGTCCCAGTCTCCCTCGTGGGTGTGGGGTCCCAAAGCTCTGGGCCATCTTCCACTGCTTTCCCAGGCCACAAGCAGGGAGCTGGACGGGATGTGGAGCAGCCGGGTCACAAACTGATGTTCCAATGGGGTTCTGGTGCTTGCAGTCAGAAGATCAGCCAATTGAGCCATTGTGCCAAACGCAAAATTTCAGGTCCTTGACTTCCAAAATGAAAGATCACTGTGTCTCTCTTCTCTAGCTCTGTGCTTCACATATAGAAAGCAGTCATTTTTGAACAACTGCCAAGGGAGACATAAGAATACCATTTGTGGATGTTTAAGCTTTTTCCAAGACACACCACACCACATATTGCATGGATGGATCAGGCCTGAGTACAAGTGGGCTTTTAAGAAAAGAGCTGAAATTAATGACAAATTGCAGGGATAATCCCCCAGGGAAGAGCCTGCATAAAGGCATAGCTATAAAGCAGACAATTTCTGGCTCTGTTAGCAGTAAGGGGCTTCAGGGAGGGGCAGAAGTTTGGGATCAGATTGTGTAGAGTTTGAGTGACAGGCCGAAAGGTATGCGGAGGCGGGGCAATTGTGGTGGTCTGCTAGGTGTTAGAAACCCGCTGAGGTTTTTAAGTCAGGGAGAGAAATTGATGGAAACGAAGGTTGTTCTGATAATCCCATGCAGAACTGTCAGGGGGCAGAGATGAAGTGGGGCCCCACGACCGGTCAGGAATTTGTGAAACAAACCAGGCCTGGGGTGGTGAAGGTCTAAACGAATGAGGTAGATGTCAGAAGGGATGGATAGGCAATCATCTCCACAAAGAAACCCAGGGGGAGGGGGCAAGATCCGTGTGACTTGTCGGAGTTTGCATTCCAGACGGAGCGGGAAATTCTCTGCACAGAGCCTCTCCCTGACCCCTCTAAGATCAAGTCCAAACATCTATAACTGGTGGGTACAAGCCTTCCCTCACTGAGCCCCCAAAACCTATCCTCCCTGCATCCACTGTGAGCATCAAACAACTTGAGATTCCCCAAACATGCTTCTTGTTTCAGTCTGAGGACCTTCTGTTCCCTTGTCTTGGAATGACTCCTAAAGTCCCTTTCCTCCCTGTTCACTGTGAACTTCTAATCACGTATCGCTGGGTCCTAAGAAAGTGTCAAGATGACGCTGTAACAAATTGCTATCCCTCACAGACAGCCCCCACCCCCAGTGGGGCTTCTGTATCTTACACCAGTGCCCGTTTGTCACACAAGGCCCTTTGTATTTCCACCTTCTCAAGCAGATGAGGAAGGTCCTTATGGGCAGGCACCATGGCCTCTTTCACCCCCAGTGTCTATCACTGAACAGATCTTGAACTAGATGTAAGTCAACACTGAGCAGGTGCAAGTCAGGAGCAGCACAGGCCCAGGCAGTTCCCAAACTGTATTTTAATGAGAAGCTGACAGCTGAAAGTGGTCATCTTACAATACCAGAAACTATCAAAAATGTCAATAGAACAGTCTTGAAATCTGTACAAATATGTTCAGAAAAAAAACACATTTTTAGCTGATACACAGTATATCTAATTTGATCATCCCGTTTCCTCACTAAAGACAGAGTTTTTTTCTGTTTGATTTTTGCTTGAAGATGATTCACTCCCCAAGTGGCCACAACAGCCAGAGCTGAACCAATCCGAAGCCAGGAGCCAGGAACATCCTCCGAGTCTCCCACACGGGTGCAGGGTCCCAAGGCCTTGGGTCGTCCTTGACTGCTTTCCCAGGCCACAGGCAGGGAGCTGGATGGGAAACAGGGCCACCAGGATTAGAACCGGCACCCATATGGGATTCCGGAGCATTCAAGGCGAGGACTTTAGCCGCTAGGCCACTGTGCTGGGCCCTAAAGACAGTATTTAATGACTTGGTTATATTGAAATTGTTTTTTAAAATTGTGATGAAATATTTGGTCTAGTGGTAAGACACCAGTGGAGACCCTACATTCCACATCGGAATGCTCCGGGTGCAGGTCCTGGCTCCACTCCTGATTCCATCTCTCTGCAAATGTGTGCCCTGGCAGGCAGCGGTGGCTTAAGGGCTTGAGTCCCTGCAACCTGGGAGGCCTGGATTAGCTTCCCAGCCCCTGACTTTGACCTGTCCTTGAGGAGTGAAACAGTGAGTGAGAGGGTCTCTCCTCTCCCAGCCCTCTCACTCTCTCCCAAATGAATGAAAGTTTTTGTGGGTTTTCTTTGATGGGTTTTTTGTTGTGGTGGTTGTTTCGTTTTGTTTAAAATTTTATTGGAAAGTCAGATTTACAAAAAGGAGATACAGAAAGGTCCTCCATCCATTGATTCATTCTCCAAGTGGCTGCCACAGCTAGAGCTGAACCAGTCCGAAGCCAGGAGCCAGAAGCTTTTTTTGGGGTTCTCCCATGCGGATGCAGGGTTCCAAGGCTTTGGGCGGTCCTCAAATGCTTTCCCAGGACACAAACAGGAAGCTGGGTGGGAAGCAGAGCAGGTGAGATTAGAACCAGTGCCCATATGGGATCCTAGTACATGCAAGGCAAGGACTTCAGCTACTAAGCTACCCTAGGCCGGAAAGCTTTTATTAAAAAAGAAAAAGTAACCACTGATATTTTTGTCACATTTGTTATGATATTAAACTTCATGTATACCTCTGGTAAGGACAAAAGGAATAAAGAGGTGTTAGAAATGAAAGTGAGTTGAGTGCAGCATGATAGCCTCATGACTAATTCCTCACCTTGCCCATATGGATCCTGGTTTGTGTCTTGCCTGCTGCACTTCCCATCCAGCCCCCTGATTGTGGCCTGGGAAAACAGTAAAAGATGGCCCAAAGCTTTTGGACCCTGCACTCACATGGGAGACCCAGAAGAAGCTCCTACCTCCTGTCTTTGGATCAGCTCAGCTCTGGCTATTGCAGCCATTTGGGGAGTAAACCAGTAGACGGGAAGTCCTTCTCTCTGTCTCTCCTTTTTTCTGTAAGTCTGCCTTTCCAATAAAAATAAAATAATTCTTTAAAAATTAAAAAAAGTAATGGAAGTGGGTGAAGACCATTACAGAAGACACATTTTGAAATACATATTGAGAGAAGCTATGATATAAGTTGGCAAAAGCAAAATATAAGGAAACTACAAATCAAAGAAACAACTTGGAATTGGCAAAGACTGAGTCAAATGAGAATGCTTTTAATGTATCAACTAGCAGGTTCAAGAATATTTACCATGAATCCTATGCAAGCACTGTTACATTTGTTATGATATTAAATAAAGATAAATAAAGATCCAGTGTGACAAGCGGAGTGTTAATGGGCTTACGCATGCAGGCCACCAAGTCCTATCTTTACCCAAAGGTAGTCAGAGAAGGAGTTCAGGAAGAACCCAATAACTAAACTAAGACTGAGCAGCTGGGCCAAAAGATTAATCAGGTAGAGAAGGACATTTCTCATGTGTAGAGGTTTCAGGCTGTTCCAGGCACAGGGGAACAGCATGTATGGGTAGACAGCATGTATAGACAAGCCAACAATAGAGATCAGAGCTTTTCCCCTGAAGTGCAAAGATAAGAATTTAGGAAAGATTGTGTGGGAATGTAGACAAGATGGACTTGCCTCTTAAGATTAGGAACTACTTAGATAAAAACACACAATCAAGCGTGATGACCTCAGTACCTGGAGGCAGTGTGGGGTATTCCCAGGTACAGGAAATATAGAAGGAAAAGGAGGTTTGCT